ATCTATCTATCTATCTATCTATCTATCTATCTATCTATCTATCTATCTAGATGCTCTGATGACTCTTGTGAGTTTGTTCCACCAGCGAGGATCCGCAGTGAGAAGAAGGGAGTCCAGATGCGATCCAGAACTCGGGAGCTCTCACCTGCTCACACATCAGGGCGATCGGGTTGTTGACGCATCCGTTGACAATCTGGGCTCCCCGACCCACGGTGAGCCCCAGGGACGCGTCGTCCCACACCCAGCCGCCGATTCTGTCCCTGGCCTCCAGCACCACCACCTGTAAACCGAAGGGGGGATGTACTGTGACTATCAGAACCAGACTAGTCACCGAGGGAAGGACACAGGGCTCTGTCTGAGTCCAGGGAGGAAACAGGAATCCATTACTGCTTGAAGGTGTTTATTTTGGCCCTTCTGGTATAACATACTTTTTGACATAATTTTGAATAGACTTGCAAGATGGAGAACTTAAGGGAGAGGAGTTTGGAAGAAGCTGGAGGTGTGAGAGAGCGCACCTGGAAGCCGAAGTTGTGCAGCTGGCGTGCCGCAGCTAGTCCCGACGCACCGGCGCCCACGACCACGACGGCCTTCCTCTGCACAGGACCAGTAGACGTGACGGGTGAGAAGGATGGGGGGGGGAACAGGGTGTGTGTGTGTGTATGAGGGGGAAATGAGGTGGGGAACAGGGGTATGTGTGAGGGGGAAACAGGGAGTGTGTGAAGGGGAAACGGGGGAGTGTGTGAGGGGGAAACGGGGGGCGTGTATGAGGGGGAAATGGGGAAAGTGAGGGGGAAACGGGGGCGTGGCAGGCTCATAGCACAGCATGCCTCCGACAGCAGCGGCCGCTCCACAGCCAGCACGCCGGTGTTGATGAGCCCCTTCCTGGTCATGAAGCGGAGCACCCGGTCTAGCTCCTGCACGCAGCGCACACGCACCAGCCCCCGAACCACGATGTGCTGCGCACACCTCTGAGCCGTCAGCACCTCCTGCACAGACAATTACAAAAAAATAAACAGAATTTATGCGATTTGTTTTACAATGAACACGAGTCAGGGAAAAAAACTGAGCTGATTTTAAGATGAAGAGACTTCAAAAGGGCTGAAATCAGCACAAAAAAGGAGAAAATGTGGCTTTAGGTGGAACAAAGAGGGTCACCATTCACCTTCAGACGCTCTAAAACTAAAAAGCAGGTTAGAATGAACCAGCATGCTGGACTCAGACCTGCATCAGCAGCTTTTTAGCATCTGAAAAACACCAGAAGAACTCCAGCTGAAACAGTTGCTCACTGGGCTCTGATCCGACTCTTATCCAGCTGCAGATTTAGTTAGTTTTATGCCCCTAAAATCTGGATCAGTCTTCCTGAAGAGGAGAGACAGAACTCAGCTCGGAATGTTTAAATCCAGGCTTAAAACGTCTGTTTATCTGTGATCTGAAGGCTGGAAATCTTTAGTCTCTTCACTTTTAATTTATATTCCATTGATTTGCTTAATGTTGTTCAGCTTCTTCTCAATTTCCTGATTTAAACGTTTAATGAGGTTTTCCTCTTAAATGTCATGAGTACAGCACTGCTACTCAGATTAATCTGACTGGCCCTGAAGGCGACTTTGCCCACAGGCTGCTGCAGGCTTACCGTGCACTTCCTGTGCCAGGATGCCAGGATCAGGTTACGCAGGGCCAGGTACATGGTGGGGTCGCGGGAAAACTCTGGGAACTCGTAAAGCTCGTCCAGCTCCATCATGTCCGGCCGCACGCACAGGGCCTTGCCGCACTCGTTGGGCTGGTAGAAGGGCTGGAAGTATGGGCACAGGCCTGGAACTGAGGGCATAGCCACTGTTAGCCACAGTTAGTCACAGTCAGCTGGTTAGCTACAGTTAGCCATTTAGCCACAGTTAGTCACAGTAAGCTGTTTAGCCACAGTTAGCCAGTCAGCCACAGTTAGCCTCAGTCAGCCTAAGGGTCCTGCTCCCACCGGCTATGTGCTCTTACTCTGCGGCTGCACGGCTCTGCAGGGATCCGCCCTCAGCTCAGCCAGCGACACGCTGCCGGGCGAGCCAGATGGACTCATCCCCACGCAGTCCGGGTAGTAGGCGGCCAGGAAGGGGCTGGACGGGCTCTCCTTCAGCAGCGGTGGCAGAATCAGCATCGAATGCCACCAGCTGTCCGTCACCTCGGACACTCTCTGCGGGGACGACACAGGAAGCAGATCAGGGGAGGCTCTGCTCGCCATGCAGGCGAGCAGAGCCGGAGCCAAGGCAGCTGGACTGCTTCTGGGAACCTGAATACAGCTCATCCCTCATCCAGAAAGATGGTTTCTATAGAGAAACTGGCTGCGGACCATGCCTGGGTGAAGACGCATCAGCTCTGTGGCTAACAGGGAATGATTAAGCCTGAACCTGAGGGATGGGAGCCTCAACATGTTTACAGGAACTTTTCGGCTCACATCGGCCATTCAAACACAAACTGGCTCATCACAACCCTCCACCTCCAGGCTGTGGGTGCGTGTACACCCCAAGACTCCCACCAGCTGTCCCAGCCGGACGTTTGAACGAGAAAAAACACTTCTCACTTATTCATTGTATTACTTATCTGTTGTGTTTTTCCATTTCTGCTGCTATAATTTCTCACTTTAAACAACTGCTCAGTACATTAGTTTCATTTAGCTGCTTTAAGCCGACTCCCCCTTTAAGAAGCATTCAGGATGAGAGGAGAAACGCCTTTAGGATCCAAGAAGAAGAAGAGGTCCAGCTGGCTGCTCAACCCAAACTACCTCAACCAGCTAGTGACAAAGGAAATGAGAGAATACAATTAACTCTGCTGGCTGTATAATGCAGAACCTCTACTTAAGTTATGGTATGTCCTGTATCTCAGTCTCCACCTCTACTTCCGTTCTTTAGCCTCTGTGGAACGAATTATAGGAATTACAGCGTATTCTGATGGGAATATTTGAACCAACATACAAATATTTTAACATACAAAGTAGGTTCTGGAAAGAGTTAAATTTGTATGTAGAGGTTCTACTGTATTGCCAATTAAGCTCAGCAATGACAGGAAAGCTCACCGAGTCCTCTGGCTGGGAGCAGTGATAGGTCCCTCGCTCTGCAGGCAGACAAACAGACAGACGGGGTTTTAACAGGAATGCTCAGAAGCAAGCAGAAAGCGGACGCTTTTTAGGGGTTTTCTTCCTGCTCACCTTGACGTTGCCGAGCTTCATCCCGCAGCGATACGTTGCTGCCAGTGAGGCGGTGAGCTGGATGTCCTTGGTCAGCTGACGCCACTTCCTGCAGTCCGGCTTGGTGCACTGAACCTGAAGGGAGCAAGTCAGCAGGGATAACATATCTGAAGATCCTCAGTCCTGCAGGTCAAGCTTGAAAAGTCACATTCAGGCAGCTGGAGGTCAAGTTTTCTTCTGATCCAGAAGCTTTTTCAGCTCTAACTGATTGTGAAGCTCTGAAGTTAATATACTGTAGGTGGAACTAAAGAATTAGGGGAAAATGTGGCTCTGGTCCCTCCTGCTGGGGGGCCATGGAGGTCACCTGGGGGGTTCATGGTGGTTAGGGGGCTCTGATGGGTCGGTAACTCCATGTCAGAGTGGTTCGGGTCACATATTTGAGAGCTGAATCTGCTGGTTGTTGTTCCTGAAAGTGTTCTGGAAGGAGATGACAGCTTCTGTCTGAGACCAGCACCTCAGGTGAGTCATGGTTTCTCCAGGTTAACAAAGATGGCTTCCTGGACCCCTCTTTCAAACCAGCTGTCTTCATGGGCCAGAATGTGGATGTTGTCCTCCTCAAACGAGTGTCCTTCAGCCTTCAGGTGAGCAGCTGAGTCCTGTCACCTTCGCTTTTCCCATAATTCTTTAGTTCCACCTACAGTATATTAACCTTAGAGCTCCACCATCTGTTAAAACTGAGGAAGCTTCTTGGATGAGAGGCCAAACGTCTTCTAGAAAACTTCACGTCCAGCTGCCTGAACTGAACTTTGATGTGATGCAACTCGGCTTTGTGAGGGAAACCTCCGGCACGCACCCAGAAGGGCAGCAGCTGGTCTGCCATTAAGGCCTTAAGGCTGGGTTCGCTCTTTCCATTGCTGGTCCACACCTTCTTCCAGGAGGCAAAGGTCTCATAGCCGTCTTTGTGACTGTCGGGGGGGGGGGGGCAGAAATGGGCAGCGTTACTGTCTCATTCCTGACACCCCAAACACAAGCCGCGCCGCTTTCCCTCTACCTTCTGT